GTAAATAAAATATTTACATATTTTTTTAAAAAGCCACTTATAAAAACTTTCATTCTTATTATTTCATTCCTTTATTCAAGTATTTATCTATCAGCAAGCAAAAATCCAAGATAGCCTGAGTCATTGGGTATTCATACATTCTGAAACATCTATTGCATGTTTACTTGTGTCATGGACTAAGGATGTGAAAGGAGATAACACTTTATTCTAAGAGCTCTTTTTAGACTGGTGAGTTGTACAGCATGACTGTTAAGTGGAATATATGGAGTTGTAGTGATAGAAGATACTTTTGAGTAAAGATGAATACTAGAGTGTGCTCAGATTTGCCTGAGAGTAGAATAAGACTCCTCAGGCAGACCCACCGAAGATGTGAAAGCATATGTGGGAATGCTGCCTTTATTATGACAGCAGAGATCCTGATGGAGGTAGTGGGTCAGAAGTATGGCGTGTTTGGCATAGGGTCAAATGTGCCGTATTATGACTGGGACAAGCTAGTGTATGTAAGTCCTTCCATGGCCATAACATCTGGCAGCTGGGGGCAGATCTGCTATTGGTTTTGACTAGACTAGTGGTTTGCAGTCCCAGACTGCTGTTTGAAATTATGCAAGGATGTCACCACAAGTGACTAACAGATAAATCGGGATTAACCAGGTGAAAGGAGCAGGAAATAGTATTTTAGGGGAAGAGATTGTACAGAGTGGAAAGGAACTAGATCTGAGGAGATGTGAGAAGTCTAGGCAGCCTTGCCTTGCAAGTTCTTGAGGCCACAGTAGAGATTTTGATCTTTATCTTGAGATCAAATGGCAAGATCAGAAACACAGTCGAATTTGTGTTCCTTGTTTTTTTTTAAAGATCACTTTAGATATTAGATGAGGAACTGATTATAATGGGAGCTGAGTAGAAAAAAGTATGGAGGCAGGTTGGGTTGAGAGATCGGTGATAGAGATGGGTGGTGGATTAGAAAGGTATGTTGGAAAAATAGGACTTGTTGAAGGGTGAGAAGAGAAAATGCCAGGAATGATCGTTAGGAATGCTGAATTTACAGTGCTGTAACTCTTCCAGCTTTTTCTCCCCCAATCTCTATCTCAAACCCAGTTCAGGGATACTAAAGATATTCTTGTTCCTGCTGCTTTAGCTTTGACCTGGCAGACCTCTTCCCTTATCCCTCTCTTCCCAACTGAACACCTTTCCTATTGCCTAACTGATCTTAAAGGCTCATAGTTAATCACACATGGCTTCCTCTAGCCTACATCAATCTCTTCTCAAACATCTCTGGCATATAATGATAATCTCATGTGTTTCTGACACTTTACAGTTCACAGAACACTTTTATATCCTTACATCGTTATCTTGGGAGGTAGGCAGATCTTGTGGCATTTTATTTAATAGAGGAGAGAATTTAGGTCTGGAGAGGAAAATGACCAAGACTCGAACTCCCCAGCCAGCCAGACGCAGAGCTGGCAGAAGAACACAGCTATCTGGCTTCTAGTCCCGCGCTAGTACTTTGTTACATGCGGTTTTATTACTTACATATGTGTGAATCTCATATCTCTAACATCACTATAAACCCTCGAAAGCCACTCCTATTCCCTTAGTCAAGTGTGAAGGAAGTGGAAAAAAACAAAGTCTGGATCTAAGTCTGTGGTCTCTGAGCCTTCGGTTTTAATTTGTTAGAATGAATTTAATATATACTTCATAGGGCTATTGCATGGTTTCTTGAATATGTGCTACCTAAATACCCCTGGTATTTAGGGGTATGTGGAGATATATATATATATATATATATATATATATATATATATATATACACTGATGTATAAAAATTTATTGATGCAAAGTATATATAAATACAGTGCCCTCAATTCCATTTTCAGTTTTGTGATTTTCTTTTTCCCCCCAGGATGAGAGAGGAAGGTGTATAGTCTTGTGTCTGGAGAAGCCCCTGCCTTTTGCTGAAGAATTTTAGTGGAACTATAAAGAATTAACAAAATGTTGAGGTCTAAAAAGAATAGCAAGGGTGGTGGTTTTTTGTTATTTTTTGTTTTTTAGAAGGGACTTCTGTTGTGTAGAAAGCTACATTAGACCATTATCTCTCAGCCTTTGCCTCCTTAGGTTATGTAGCTGACAGGTCTGCTTGCCCGCTTACACTCCACAAGGAGAGAAAGGTTAAAGGGAGTAAACTAATACCTGCTAAGTTTCTTGATTGTGGCCCCAGTCCCTGTGCCTGGCGTCAGATATCTTCTTGCTTGTAATACTTACAAAAGCCCTGTACGGTACTAGTATTCCCCTTTTATGAAAGAGAAAACCAAGGTTCAGGGGCTTGAGGAACTTGCCCAGGTTGGCAGAGAGCTGAGACTGGACCCCAGCCTAAACTGGTTCCAGAGACCACTCTGTTTTGCCTATATAGTAAATATATATGTTTTCTAGCTTTCTGTTGTTAATATTTATCAGTTAGAGTAAGGGGACATTGTAAACAAAATCAGTCGTATTTTTGGGAGTAAATGTTATCTTGGTGCCTTTAAAACACAAACAAAAATAATAATTCCATTAGTAGAGGAAAATTGCACCATACTGCTGAGCATAAATTTTATTGCTACAGTAACTATAAAATACAAAAATGATAAATGAAAAGTTGGAACACTTATTATTGGGAATATATTTTCTTGGTATAACTAAAATACAATCTGAATTGTACTGGTACTTGTTAGAAATTGCAGTTAATTCTTGACAGTGTATATGACTCTGACTAACCCCAGGTTATATCTGGGCTGTAATAAGGGAGACGGTATGTCTTTACCTCCAGTGGGTTAAGGTAGAGCTGAGTCATTTCCTAAAGGATCCTCTCTAGAGCCACAGGTTCACACCCTTGCAGTAGCTAAGGGAAATTCAGAACTGGGAAGGTTCCTCTATCCAGCCAAGACTTGACAAAAAAAGGACCTCTGGTCCATGATTCTTCCAGATATAAGTAATGCCCCTTGAGGGCTGATGGAAATGGGGTTGAGTCACTGTGCATTCCAGGCAGTGCTGATGAAGGAATGCGCTTGGGAGAACTGAGACTGAAGGCCCTGAATGGCATTAGTCAGGAAATGCACTAGTGGCCTGATCTGCTCAGCAGATGACCTGTTCTCTACTCAGACATCAGTGGAGGAGCGGAGGTAGGCCTCGTGCAGCAGCAGAACAGGCAGCTCAGCTCAGGGAGGAGGCGGCGGCTCTGAACTAAGGTCTCCACGTGCATTAGCACATTTAATTCTAAGAGGTAATCATCTCATTTTTCAAATGAGGAAACTGAGGTGTAATTTACTGAGGCTAGATAATGATTTGTTCAGAGTCACACTGAGGACATGATAGAGTAAAAATCTGGGAGTGGGTCTGTCTAGCTTCAGCCCGTGTTCTTTCCAGTTAGTCACAATGAATTCCGTTAAGATGACTTCATGACACTGGGACCTTCTGAAGGCTTATTGGTGAAAGGGGGGGGGGGAAGATATGAATAAAGTCTTTATTTGCAGGCGTCTCATGTTTAAGACTTGGAAAACAAGTGTGACCCTCTTTCCATTGTTTTCAGTAAAAAAATTCACATGGCTTGTACATGTGAATTTCTGATCACATGGCCCTTGGTTGGAAAAATGTTATGTACCCTTAAAATAGGGCAAGGGAGGATGGTGGTGAATAGATTTGTTCTGTTGCAGTTTTCTGAAAAACCAGCTTTAGGTGGAGCCATTTCCTTTATTATCCTGCCTTGAAATCCTGCAATCATTTTAAAAATCTGTTGAGAACTACTCAGAGTATTTTTCTCATAAATCCATACTTGACACTGTTTTCCTTTAGGGAAAAAGCAAAATGAACAGTGTCATTGGTTGTGGTCCTATGTGATTTTGATGTGCCATCCCCAATACTGCTCGTCAAGCACAGAGAATATTTGGTGGTGCCAAAGCAGTGTGAACTCTGACATTTTAATGTGACACAGAGTACAGACTGCTTGTGTAACCTCCTGTCTTCAGACCCTCAGTGGTAGCTAATGCACAGACAGGTTGATCATGCTATATTTAAAATACTTTTCTCTCTACTTGGCAGATTTTGCTGGTTGCAAACTATTACATTGCGTAGTGGTTTGGTGTACCAGCTCTCTACCTTTCCTACAACAGTGATGGAAATCTGCTTTGCTGGAAGTGGCCTGGTGAACTATTTGATAGTATCTTTTAAAAGTTAGAATGTGCCTAACTCCTGACCCAACAGTTCTGTTCTTCAGAACAGATCCCAAGACATTCATTGGATAATGTATATGCAAGGATGTTTTGATCATGGAATTACTGAAGTAATGAACAATAACACTAGCATTTATTGAGTATGTGTTCTATATCAGACTCCATTTTCAGAGCTTCATAAATATAGTTAATCAAGTATATTGAATCAGAAACGATTTAAATGTTTTAAACAAAGATCATTATTATAGTGCATTTAATAGATAACATGTTTAGCTTTTTAAGATTATAATCATTACATTTATGGACACAAATGTATTTGTAATAGTGTTGGTGTTGTATGCTACAAAATCTATATGATAAAGTAGTACTGTGTCCCGTAGGCTTCCTAGGCTTATTTCTGGGGAACAGATGGCCAGTTCTTTTCTCCTATGAAGCAGATAGTGAGTTTGAACCCCTGACCCTTTAGTTAAGAGCTGAATGTCCTTAATCATTGTGCCATCAGCATAAATCCAGATCACAAATAATGTACTATATAGTTCACTTTTATGGGGTAGGAAACACCTGAAAGGCTGTATAGTGAAATGTGACCTTTTTTTGCCTGATAAGATTGTGGATGATTCTTAGCTTTTATCTTTGGTTTCTAATTGCAAATATTAATTTAAAAAAAAGCTTAGTATAAGTCTATAGTAGAAATAGCGAACAGATATTCCTTGTCTCTCTGGGGCTGTTGAAATTATTGTCAGATTGTCACCTTGTGCCTTTTACATCTTTGCTTCTTTTTTGCAGCAAAGCAGTTGAGACCTTAGCTGAAGGGGGTACCTTTGAAATACAGCGGGTGAAGGAAGATGCTCGGAAGAAGGTGCAGCAGGTGGAAGATTGCCTGACCAAGAAAATACACCGCTTAGAGGAGGCAAGTCTGCGAACCCTGAGGAGGAAGGAGTAGTTCTTAGGGTGGATTAATAATGGCTGGGCAAAACTCTGTTCCTTTTCTTCATATATCAGCATTTTCGCAGAAATAAAACTGAAAATATGTTATTGAGTGTCTCCTGAGTTCCAAGCCCCGTTTTAGGCACAGTGCATGTGGAACTCTTACACCCTGATAATCCCACCATGGTCAAGTTGATTCTGACTTTGCCAGCCCCCCGTTGGTTTCCTGGGCTATAACTGTCCATGGGAGCAGCTGCCTCATCTTCCTCCTTCAGGATAGTAACTTTTTGGCTAACAACCCAGCACATAACCTATGATGTCACCAAAGTTCTTTTATACCTTGTTAAGGGGACATTATTCCCTCTGTTCCAATATATAGGAAAACCAGTATATATAGAGAGAAGTACCAAGTTTAAGACTGGATTTAAATCGATAATTGCTGAGTTTAAAGCCCTTACTCTTTAGGGATTTATCTTGTTTGGGGATTATCTACTTTAGTCCTTTCATTTTACAGATAAGAAAATAGAAGCTCAGAGAGGGATAATAGTTTATGTGACATTAGCCAACCAGAGTGCTCCTTAGAGGCAAGAATGACAAAGCTTTTTGGACATGTGAAGAGAGGGACCTTATGCTTGGTAAAGTGGAGGGTCAGTGAAAGAGAGGAAGACCCTTAACAAGATGGATTGATACAGTAATTGCAGTGATGTGTGTCAGGGATGGTAAGGATGCTGGAGGAGCGGATAGGGGTCAGATCTGTTGCTTGTAGGATCACTATGAGTTGGATGGCACCTAACAACATCAACAGCAAATCAAATCTGGAATCAAATTTCCCAACTTGCAGGAAATCTGACCTTTCAACTCTCCTCCCTAGAATCTATGCATCCAGTCGTCCAGCCAGTGTTTACTGAATGCCTTTTGTTTGGCATGAAGTGTAACTCCTTTTTCTGTTTACTTTTAGTTACATGTTTCCTTTACTTGTGTTGAGAGTCAGGATACTTCCATGCTTAAGAATTCTGTCACCTAGAGATGTGAAACCATTCCTCTTTATTAGGCTTAACACTCACTCTTCTTTGCCACAGCATGGAACCGACTCATAGCTGACACTCCAGTGGGTTTTCAGAGGCTGTAAATCCAATAAGTGGATATTGCCCATCTTTTTCCCACAGAGCAGCTGGTGGGTTCGAACCTCAGGCTACCATTTAGCCACCAGACTCCATACTAATTGTAGGTAGTTTCTGATTTATGATGGAGTTCCACTCGAACTATTGCAGTGAAATTCAGTTCTGACCCAAGTTAAATACATCGTTTTTCTTCATTTTAATTACCTTTTGTGATCAATGTCTTTAGGACTATGATTCATATTTGTCTTTAGGGATTGCTTACATATAAGTTTAGTATTCTAATGCATACTTAGTTATGTATCAAATATGTTAGTCATAAAATTTACTCTACAAGAACCCTTACTCACTGTTGGTGGGAGAGTGAAATGGTGGAATCACTATGGAAGGCAGTATGACACTTTCTCAAAAAGTTGCAAATAGGGAGTTCTGGTGGCCTAGTGGCAAGAAGCTGCACCACAATCTTAGAGGTACGTGGTTCAAATCCACCAGATGCTCTCCTAGAGAAGGAGAAGCAGTCTCCTCCTGTACCTGTCAGATC